TTCCTCGGAACCGTAGTCTTCCAAACATTTTTGGGGGCTTACGGGCCTGGCCTCCGAGTACCTCGTTGGCGTTGCCGAATGGTAGATGGAGCTAGTCTTGGAAGGGACATACTTGGAATCTGACTCTTTGGTGGATCGTAAGCCCTGAGCCTTCCGAATCGGTGACTTATTTCCCAGGGCTTTCAACTGTGAGTCTCAGAGTTTTGCGTTGATCCTGATTGGAGATCTCTGCCGTTCAGCCTCCTTATCGTTGATCCGATGCCGACAATCGACATAAACTTTCTTCGGTATGTGAGGCTGGTCCCAGGGTGCCGGAACTACCAACTGCTTGGAAGGCGCAGGCGTTGTCTTTACCCTCTTTTTACCTTTCTTGTGTCGACTATGAGACTGCAGGCTCTGGGATGATTGAGTTGTTTGAATGGTTTGCGTTTGCTGCTGATTGAGCAGTTGCTGGGTTTCTTCCACTTTGGACGAAAGAAAGTTGTTGTGTTCTTGCAACTTAGCCATGTCCTGCCAAAGGGAGGTTATCAGAGCCAGAAGCTCGGCTTCGGCAGTGAGTTGCATAATGGGCGAATTGCCGAACGGAGTGCATGGGGGCAGCACTGGGCTAGCTCCGCTCTGCCTTCCGAACGGTGGCCCTTCTTCGGGCAGAAATACTGGTACTGAAGTGATCCCATGTGTTTTTTTTTTAGGGATGGTGGGTTGGTTCAGATCGTATTCCCATAGACAGCGCCAAATTGTTGACGTTGAAAAATGATTCGGCACTTTCCCGCGCAACTTAGTGATGTTGGACCTTCGGTGTGCTCTGGGCCTCGGTAGAGCGCGTGATCTGCAAGATAACAAATACTCGGTAAGGACACCGGTGTGGTACCGGCCGAAGGCTCTCCGATGCTTAAGTAAGTACGGATTTAGTAAAGTTGAACTACAGATCAATAGGCTGTATGCCGTAAGTTCAGATTACCTCTATTTTTGGGAATTGTGCTTCTTTTATAGACCTTGGGAGGTGTGCAAGTTGTGTAGAATTTCGATGTGGGACTGTAGACATCGATTGTGGGCTTGCCACATGTCCTAGAGGAGGTGGTTGCCCTAATCGTTGGATCGGTAGGCTGGGTGCCGAAGCAAGGTGCCGAAGGCTACAATAGACCCAATCTTGTCCACGCGTCCGATTCTCATTGGCTGTTCATTTTGGTATAAACAAGGTGTCTCTTTCTGATTTCAATATAGTGTTAATGCTTATTTGGGCCATTTGTAAGGAGCGCAACTCCCACCTTTGGGATGGTACTCGTGTTGACCCTGCATTTGTCTCTTTGTAGGCTACTAGTTGGCTTCAGGAGTTCCATTGTGTTCATTCGATCCCCTACACACACTGCCCCCTACTGCCCATGAGATGGTTGGCGCCCTTGGAAGGCTGGTTCAAAATTAATGTTGATGGGGCCTTGAACATCCCCCTCGGCCTGGGGTGTGGGTGTGGTGGTCCGTGACTGCCGAGGAAATTTCATCTATGCTCGCATTCGGAGGTTCTGCCATATCTATCGGGCTGAGCACATTGAACTGCTTGTTGTGTGTGAAGGTTTGAGTCTGGGTTCTTCTCTTGGTAATCCCCAGCTCGCCTTAGAAAGTGACTCTCTCACGACTGTCACCACTATCTTAAGGAAAAATACTGACTCTTCTTTTCTTGGCCACCTCTACGAGGACGCCAAGTTCCTTTTATCTCAGTTTGCTGGGGCTATTGTTGCCCATGTTTCTCGCCACTGCAATGATGTCGCTCATTGCTTGGCTAAATTCTCTTTCTATTGATGGTTTGGCTGACTGGAATGAGTGGCCCCATGCTATCATCCAGGATGCCTCTTAAATGATTGTAATCTGCTCTAGTTTCTTCAATGAATTTCGTTCTTTTCCAAAAAAAAAAAAAAAAAAAAAAAAAATGGGGGAAAAAAAGGGATGGAAAAAAATAAAAGGAATAAAAAAAAAAAAAAAAAAAAAAAAAAAAAAAAAAAAAAAAAAAAAAAAAAAAAAAAAAAAAAAAAAAAAAAAAAAAAAAAAAAAAAAAAAAAAAAAAAAAAAAAAAAAAAAAAAAAAAAGCATGGGGAACAAAAAGTGATGGAATAAATTACAAGGCATGAAAAGCAACAAGAGAAAGGTCTCAATCAGGATGGTAGACAACTTCACGTGGCCATGGAATATTCCTATTGTCTTGATGGGTGTAGGAGTATAGATGATTATTGTTAATGTTATTAATTCGGATAAGGATAAAATAATAGCAAATGCATAATAAATTTTTTATATCAACTAAAACTTGTTCAGATTAAATACATAGTCAATCTCTTTCTTTTTGGTGCTGTAGTGCTTTGCCTCAATTTGTTTGATTTTGCTATTTTCCCTTTGTGCTTGAAGTAAGTCTGATTTAATTTATGGATCCTAGTTGGCTAGTACGATATATGAGGTTTTGATGTTATTTTGTTTGGTAATAATCTGAACAATTTAGGCATTTGGGTATTGTAAGCATGATTTTGTTTTGGTGTATCTTTGTTTTTGTAACTCAAGACAAGACTTGATGGTCTTGAAAGATGCATTTTACTAGAGTGAAAAAAATTGGGTTGATTAGTCTAATAACCAATGTTGTTAATTATGAAAATAATGAATATATATTGTCCACATTGTTGTTTTTAAAAAATACGAAAAGATATTCCATTAAAAAACCATAAAACAGTACATAGTGAGAATCAATATGTTAACCGGCCTCATTAAAATCTGCTCAAAGGAAACCACATGGGACAAAATTCCGGGGGAGGAAAGAGTACCACCCATACTTTCGATTAACAAAAGAGTCAAACTCATATGAACTGACAAAAGAAGGCCTCTTATGATGAAACAAATTGATCTATTGAAATTTAGCATCATAGTTCTTTGCACAGATAAAACTTCTCTCTGCGGGCATTGATTCAAAACTGAAAAGTACTCCGTTCCTTGCATTCCATGATAGCCACAACCAACACGGGGCACACACAACCACAACCTGTCGACGACCCCGAAACCAGAAAATAGAGTATCCAGGATATCAGATATGCCAAAACACCAGTATTTTGGGGCAAAATCAAAGGAGAGGTAAACCACACAGATCCGAAGTAGATCAGAAAACTCCAATCTGCAAATCAGAAACACAAAACCAAACCAAGAAAACAAAGAGGGAGGGGAGGGGCGAGTAGAAGGAGAGGATGAGGAAGGGGGGAAAGGGATTGGAGGGGAGAAGAGGGATGCTGGAATTCCTTAGTCTAGAGTATTTTTTCTTCTTTCGAGAGGACCCAAGGACACCATTGTCGACATTGTTGTTAAGTAACCATTATTGTTGTAATATACATTTTTGTTATAAGTATTTTTCTTTTCTTTTTCTTTCCTGTGATAGTTGTGATTATTTCTGTTGATTCTTAGATACATATATAGATAATGTAAAGATGTTGATGAATTAGTTCCGGGTCTTAACTGTTAAAGTGATCTTATAATGGGAAAGTTGGTTTTACTTCCTCCATATAGAAGGAGGAGCGTGTGGAACTAGTTTTGTCCCCTTGGCACCATATAGAATTAGTTTTGTCCTCTGCCTGCCTCAATTAATTTTGTACCTTTATCAATTAGTTAGACCACTGAAGTTTTCTTGTTCAACATGGCATGTGGTGTTAATTGTAATTGTGACAGAGTCTGATAGATCCCATCAATTCATTGTTTGTGGAAGATCTTGATAAGATTTTTTTTTGGCTTCTTTGTTTAGACGATGTATATACTTACATAAAATAAATAATAATTTTATTTTCCAAAAACATCTTGAAAATATTTTATTATTGTTGGTTAAAAGTTACAGATTCGGATGGATGCTTCTTAGTCTTTGCCCTATTGTCATTCTTCTTGTTCTAGGAGCAAGTGCTTCTTGACGAGCAGACATGGTTAATCCTTTCTAATATGAAAAAGTTAATTTATATTTAATAATTTTGATAGAATAAAGAACTTGGCTATCATGTTATTTATAAGCTAGGAATATGGTTATGATCATCGGAAAAAGATTTAAAATTTTAAGTTCATCAAATTAGGATTTGCTGGCTAATACTTGAATCACTAGGACTCGAATCCTTTTTGTGTTTCACTTTATTAATCTAATCAACTATAAATACTTTCTAAACGCGTTTTTGGTGTCCCATATGGATTCCAAAATTAAATCGAAAGTTATCGGTGCAAATTGTGTTAATAGAAATTAATGTTTTGTGCTTTGATTTCATAACCAAAGTTATAAATGAAGCAGCGAGCGTGTCTATACACAGTTTCAGGTCGACATTATTTGTCTGGCTAAATAGTTGATTGATTGAGGTGTTTGTCTTTATGCATAACGTATTTGTCACTACCTATGAATTCTGGGTTTTTGGATGAAAGCCCCCTTCCCAAAAGAATTAAGAATATTTCTGAGTTTTCATATTACAATACCTTATAGTAACAAAAATAAAATAAAAAAATAAAAAATTAGAATGCCATATAATTAGTAGAGCCATTTATCTGCGGGGTGTGAAGCCAAGTGAGCAAGTAGAACGGAAGGTTCCAGTTTCATTGTTTATCAGGTCGACATTTGGTAGTTTACTAGTTTTTCATTACATAATTACTCCTTGTTGTCAAAGTGAAATCTCTCATTATGAATTCAGTGGTAAAGAGCGTTCACACACCCAAAATTGACGTCGGCTTGTAAGTCTCTCTAGTAGAAGGAGAACCTTGATTATGGGATCTATTTTGGCCATATATATATGGACACGATCAAGATGTTTAAACCTTCTTTGCCTAATAAGAACAAGGGTGTCTCTTTGTTTTGGTGCCTACCTTGCACCCCAAAACAGTGTACGCTCTCTGGACACTTGGGCGTCTTTGAAAATTTAGATTTTTTTTTTTTTTTCAGAAAAAGAAAGTTTATAAATACCACCACCTCCATCTACAAGTTAATGCATGTATATTTCAATCAGTCACTTCACTGCCTGAGGGAATTTAGTTCTAAAATGGCTTCTGCATTTGCAACTATTGCTCTTCTTCTCTCCCTTAACCTTGTGTTTTTCACTACAGTGAGTTCAGATCATCATGTTCCTAATTATCCACCAACACCACCAAAAACCCCAAAACACCCTCCCCCGTCAACCCCAACCTCAACCCTAACACAATCTCTTCTAACCCCAATCCCAACGCTAGAACAACCTCCTTCAACCACAACCCCAACACAATCTCCTCTAACCCTAATCCCAACGCCAGAACAACCTCCTTTGACCCTAACTTTGACTCCGACCTTGACCCCAAGCCCAAGCCCAAGCCCTTCTAAAGCCTCTTGCCCTGAGGACACCCTTAAGCTTGGGGTATGTGGCAATTTGTTGAATGACTTGGTGCACCCTGTTTTGGAGACCCTACCAAAGACCCCTTGCTGTAAACTCATTGTGGGTCTTGCTGATGTTGATGCTGTTGTGTGCCTTTGCACTGCCATTAAAGCCAACATTTTGGGCATCAATCTTAATGTGCCAGTCTCCTTAAACTTGCTTTTGAATTTATGTGGTAAGTCTATCCCAACAGACTTCCAATGCTCCTAGGGGTGCCATGACCTTCTCATCTAGTGCTGCCCTTCTGAAGCTTTGTTGGAATGAAAAATAAAAATATATTACCTTCGAAATGTAATATATTATGCATTTTGGCTTTACTTTGTAATATATTATGCATGTTTCCTTCGAAATGTAGCTGAGATTTAGGGTGTTCTCTCTTAGGAATGTTCATACATTTCCTTCAAAATAAAAATAAAAATTATGCATGTTTCACTCTTGAGTTTGTGGTTTTTATTAGGATTTGTCCAATATAGATCCCTGCATTTTCTATTTCCTATACATATACCCATCACTCTATAAATCTAAGTGTAAAACCCAATTTCAAATTTAAATTACCAGTAGGATATAAGAGATCGTAGTATTCCTATATTTTTACATCATTGCCACCATACTTTATATTTTATAAGAGGTCGTAGGTAACTTGCTTACTTGAATCCCAGTCATTGGGTTTTATTTGAAAAAATTGGGTATTTAAATATAAAAATAAAGAAAAGGGTTGTAGGTGATTAAAAATGAATTTTATGGGTCTAAGCTCAATTTACTATTTTTATATTATTGATATAGACAATGAAAATTAAATAATGCGCCAATCATGATTATTAGTTACATGTATCTCATCATTTCGACAACCGAAAATGAGAAAAAAATAATAATAATAAAATAATAAAATAAAAAAGGTGTTAGTATCTTGCTTGAATGCATGGTCTAAATTGACATATGACAACATGATACACCATTAGGCAAGATAAGCCTCACAAGAAAACATTGTTTTTCCCGTTATCACTCATGTGCCTATAGATAGTAAATTCATCCTTAAATGTGTGATTTTAGTTAACATGGCAGGATCGTATGATTAAATAGATATAATTATTGAGTTTATTTCTTTGGGAAACCAAATATGAACCACATGTGCAACATCATTCATTTTCGATAGAGTTCTTGCTTCTACCATGCATTTTGTAAAACTACGCAGCATAAATTAATCTGGCTGGTTTAATCCAATAACATCAATCATATGCAATATCAATGAGGACATCAATAAGGTATGACAATTTCTAATTAAGCACAGACAAAGCCTTGTGGCACCTTTCCCGTACATACATTAACAAGCAAACTAAGAGCAACATGCACTTCGAGCTTGACAATTCCCAGGACATTGGCCTTAATAGCAGTGCACAGACACAATGCAGCTTCAAGAACTGCAAGACCCTTTTGTCCCAATAACCTCGGTCACCAACCCTAACCAGCTGCGTTTGGGGCATTTTGTTAAATTTGCTGTGTAATGTCCTTGTTGTCCGATAAAATCAGCACGAGAGCTTTCTGTCCAAGAAAACCAGCTCGAGCGTGTTTGGTTAGAGACTTTTGTCTGCAGTTGCTTTTAGGAAGCCAAGTTGCTTCTAATATTTTGTAAGGTTAAATATTTGTTTTAGGCTGTAGATATTATCAGCTTTTACTCAAGTTGGTTAAGTGTTGGTGTGTGTTCAAATAGTGTGAAGCACATGCACATTTCTATATATGTATATAAGAGAGGAAAACCTCTCCACTAAGTTTTCATCCATCAGAAAAATATCAGAGAACCAAGTCTTAGTTTAGACCTCTGAGTTCATCTTTTCCTTGTTATTTTCTTCTCTTCTTTTATCATTGCATAAAATCCAACATGGGTATCAAAGCTTAGTTGAAGATTTATTTTGCTAGCTGTTGTTAGATAAGAGAGGGACAAAATCCCCACTAGCCATGACAGTTCAAGCAGAAATGGTGTCATTGAGAAAGCTATGAAGAAGGGCAGCAAGAAAAGAGCCAATAAGCTTCATCCTCTGCAAACACCTTGAATAAGAGAAGCTAAAATAAGGCATTGAAGAAGAGAACAACTCTCTCATGTTAGATTTTTTTTTTTTCCCAATCAGTTGGGTGGTTGGTATTACTAGCATCTTTTCCATTTGCGACTCACAGGGAGAAAATTCTGATCCCATTTTAGTTTAACAGATTTAGTCTCATGTCTGCTCCACCGGCAAAAACATCCTAAAGAAATATTCAAAGCCCTGTGGTTGAATATTTGTTTCTTTGCTAATATGCTCTCTCTCTCTCTCTAGCTAGGAATCATGAAACTGCTAATGCTACTATCCTTATATTTTTAAGTAGCGAAATGCTAAAGAAACCCTAATGTATTATGTATCTAGTGTTGGATGATCTTTCCATCATGAAGAAGTCCTTGCAAATCCCAAAAATAAGACCCAACTACATGAGATAGAGACATCGTTTCCTGAGGCCAGGTGATGACATGCCTAATCAATCTATTAGTATTCTAAACTTGGGATTTCTTACCTAATTAATCCCCTCAGAAGACAATAGCATATACATGAGTACAAATTGTGGTGCCCATAAGTGCTTATGACTCTCCATACACAATGACATGATACAACTTATGGGCGCTTCCCTAAGAGCACCTCCACCCCAAAGGGCAAGGGCAAGGCAAAGGCAAGGCAATGTTTGACACTATTCACGTGAATAGTGGCAGCCTTGTCTTTTTTGGTTCCACTCCAAATGGCCAGGGCAAGGAAAAATACTATTCACTTTAATGTATTTTCTATTTTTTATACTTAAACCATTAATTTTGATAAGGTTTTCAAATAATATTTTCGATTGCCACGTGTCACTATTTATTATAAAATTTTCACCTAAATTTTCAGATAAAATTTTCGGATAAATTTTTGAATTAAATTTTCAGATAAAATTTTCAGTTGCCATGTGTCCATATTTATTATAAAATTCACATCTCACTCATCATACAATTGAAATACTTCCGGTCCTCATAGTCTGACACAATCGAGTACAAGGACGACTCAATCATTGGCGACGGTGGTTCCACCGGATCACAACGTGATGGAGTATTTTTCTTCGGATGACGTAATAGCGCTATTATTTCCGACACGGAACGCACCACTGGAACTAACTGCATGCATTGTTCACTTGAGGAGCCATGTGTAATGGTTTTCCTCTTTTTTGTTTTGCCTTGAATAATCTATTTAAAAAATAAAATTGGAAATGCAAGAAATATATTTTAAAAAAATACATTAAATTGAATAAAACAGCAATTAATTTTTTTCTACCTCGGCACCAAGATTTTGACCTCTTCGAACATTTTTCCACGACCCACCGGCTTCGATGGAAGAGACCATTTATTTTTTTTTATACAAATGGTAAGTAGTAGAAAAATGTGTGTGGATAGTAAAAAATATTGGAATGAGAAAAGTTTGTATGAAGATTTGATGTGGAAAGTGAATAAAATTGTTAGGTATTTTTTTTGCAATTTTTTAGCCAAAAAAATCAAGGTCGTCAAATTTCTGGACAAAATACGATCAGAGCGTCTGGGAAGGGACATGTGGCATCTTCCTGTTGGGGCTTGTCAGCGCTGACATCAAAAGCTAAAATCAAAATTTTTTTTAACGTTGGCGCTTGAATACGCACCAACGTTAAAATTAAAAATTAAAATTTTGATTTTGGCATTGTTGACTTCAGCGCCTTCGGGCTTGAGCCCAATCAAGATTTGCTTGTGGGCTTGCCCGGTCTGGTGGGTCTCAGGGCTTGCCCAGGCTGCTTTTGTTGCGCTGGAGGCGGATTTGGGCTTTGTGGGGCCCTGTTGCCAAGGCAGGGCCCCAGCGCTTCACATGATCTAAGGACTTATGGGTACCAAACAAAATGTGTACAAATTATAGTTGTGATTATCAAAATGTTCTTACCCATAGAAAACAAGGAGGAGTTCAAAGGGTTTAAAGTTGGTGGACTGGATCCGGTTTGGACAATGTTTGGGTTAGGTTAGGCTCTGTTAGAGAAGGTGTTTGAGGCCTTTGGTGATATGTGATGTCACATTGAAAAAGAAATCTGAACCCCAAAGTAACAATCCTTTTCATGCGGTAAAACTAATCGAAATTGAAAGAAAAATCAGAATTGAACCTAAAATCAAGCTCTACCTGAGTAACAAATGAAAACCTAGCTCGCTCTGGTCTCGCGTTCTGGTCTCATGCTCTTGTCTCACTCGCTCTGATCTTGTGCTCGTCTTGCTCGATCTGATTTTTTTTTTTTTTGGTCTGAACCACGAGGTGGTCCTGGATGGGCTCCAACTATGGGTGGGCCGTTTAAGCCTTAACCACAAC